CTGGCCGCCCCCGGCCTCGCGTGTAATGTGAATCGATGGGGGACGCGTACGTTACTTTGTGGACAGAGATTTTTTGAATGTGTCGGCTTATTTTATTTTTGGTTACGACATGCATTAGCGTCGCCTGCTTGGTCATGCAAGGAAAGGCTTGTAATTTATTAGGAGGGGCAGAAACATCGTCATCATTTGCACATAAACTGTTCTTTATAATAACATTTTCTCACCAACTCTCAGCCTGTGAAGTGATCGTTAATACACGACACGCATGCCCGTATCGTCGTCAACCGAGAGCTGGCTTGATATCGTTTCCATGTGAAATTGTAATGAATGGTAGGGCGACCCACACATTTCACAGTAATCGCATTTTAAAAGATAACAATGCATGGGAAAGACCATACGGCCGCGAGTAGAAACCGTCTGTTTGCGTGAGACATCTTTTTTTCCCTCTCTCTCTTTTCGTTTGCATTATACATGTCCGTGTAATTATATACAAAAAAAAAATATCCAAACCAATGTTAAACTGAAGCAGCCACTGAGCCAGAACACTCCTACGGCAGGCCGGAAAAACACCGAGCTACTAATATTAAACAGGCTATTATTATTATTCTTGTAGAGGATTGTGAAATAACTCGTGTGAGTGGGCCTACTCGGAACAAGATTCAGGAAAATTGAATAAACAGAAATAGCGCCACGTACTCATCAGCTAGCTTAGACACACAGCTTTGTGTCCCTACCATTATAGTTTAGTATAACAATTGAATATTCAGGGTTTGGTCAAAAGTGCAAGTTTAGCGTGAGCGTCGTGGTAACCCATGTAGATTTTGAAGAAAAACTTGTTTTCAAGAAATCGCCCGAGAAGCCTCTCCTGTTTCAAAACTGCAAAAATACCAATATGGAACAAATTAATGCAATAAAAAGACCTCGAATGATTTTTGAGATATAAACTTGTGCCTGAACCAGGTAATTAACATGAACACAGTGGTTAATTAGTCGAAATCAATTAGTAAAGATGCGTGTCCGTTCGTGAAATCAAAAATCTACTTTTTCCTACTTTGTGGCCCTTCTTTGCAATGTATTGTTTCCACAGGAAGGGGCACGCGCGCACCCCTGTGAATGTAACAAAGACGCGTGGCTCTTCGTGAGAACGAAAATCCTATTACTTGACCTACTTTTTGGCCTTTCCAGTCAATATGTTAACACGTGTACAATGGGCAATATGATTTGCGTCTCCTAGTGAAAATGCAAAATGCACTTAAGATTTCCCCTTCCAACATGAATGTAATCGGAATCGCCAAAATGCTGCTTTTGACGTGCGTGGCTCTTCGTGAAAACTGTGACGATATTTGCCCCCACCCCCGTTCTCTCTTCCCCCATTATGGCCCCTCAAACATTTCGTATGAAGATCAATTTTGTTATTTCTTCCGCTGTTTGGAATCAGAACTAAGATGTGGAGTGAAATTTTGACTCCGTGCATCTGCTGTCTCACTTTGTGACTCAATACTCTTCACATGGCCCCAAAAGTAAGAACGGCCGCAAAATTTCAATCAGTCTGCGGATTTTATTTCGATTACTCCCCCCCCCAATTACCTTCCCTAGCCCCCTCCCCCAAACAAATATGGAGTTCGATTGGGTTGAAACGTCAAGAGACAAAAATCACATATTTCAAGATGTGTTCATACATGTACATACATCTAATTAGTTACCTCTTCCGTTGGTTAGGAGTCCCACTTGTCATGAAGTACGAAATTAAATCACTCCCGAATGCGTACTACGTGTGTCTGGCTAAAATAGTAAGGTGTTCGAAATTAGCCAAATCTGGTCCAAGTGACTGTTTTTACTGAATCTATTCCAGGAATGAGAAAATGCCTTGTTCAATTTGTTAGAGCTCCCCCGATAGGACATATAGGAACCAAACTTCTGTTGTCAAGTGTCGCTTCAAACCCTGGACGCACGTGCATCCACATCTTAAAACTTTCACCTCTGTTTTTGTTGAACAGCGCCCTCTTTTGTTAATAGCTCGACCAGGCCAAGGGGGAGGTGCTCTCCGTGGAATCGATCGTCATCGTACATATGTACATGTGCGTGCAGCTAATTACGGGAACTGCGAGCTGCATGCATTTTTGATCGGAGGTCCTGCAACGTGCATCAGCTGTGCTTGTGCCGGAGTTGGGATCGGATTGTCATTTTGGCCTAATTCAGGTAAACGTATAGTAGTCTTACTTTCGCAATTGTGGTAAAATCGGCATCCATGGAATTTGCAGGACACTTTGACTTAGCGAGTTTGTGTCGTAAGTTCACGCTGCAGGCGCATGCCTTGAAATGACATTATGATGAATAGGCCTAGCCGTAGCGCAGGTCAGAAAGCCTGAAACTTGGTGCACGCATGGGACATGGCGTGCATGGAGCCCAAGTTTCGAAGTGGCAGCCTCACTACTAGGTCAAAATGTATTGGATAAATTATTAGGGCCTACATCAGATCAAGACAGATTGTTAGTGGTGGTGCATGGGCATGATGCCATGTCATGGTGATATGGCCTGGCTAACGTCGTGAACGTGGAGTACCACTACCAGTCTCAGGGATGCAGCATACACCTGAACATGCCTAAGGCTAAGGCAACCATGACAACCCTTCATCATGTTAATTTTTCAGGTGCTTACATGTACTTTTACAAAGTTTGGCTAAAATGTTGCATCCTGACTCCATTTTTCTCATCATATATCATCTCAATAAAAGTCAGTCATTACAGAAATGCTGGAAAGACACAAATTCTGGACTGAGAAACATTTAACGTCGATGTTGTTGGGAAATACGTAGAAAATTCTCATCACTCCCCATAGACTTTGTACACAACTGCTGAAGTGGAGTCAGGATGCAACATTTTCCCCAAAGTTTTAGTTTTAAAACAGGCTGTCTGCCCTACTTGTTTCTTATAATCATTTGTTAAATTTCTTACCAGTGGTAACATCTTTGACTGTATAGATGTATATGTAGCTCCCACACAATTTTACCATTCACCGTAAAAACCAATTAAGATATACATATAACGGGTTTGCCGTTACCCAACGTATATTAATTCTTATTAATTAATATACGTTGGGTAATATTAATTCTTATTAATTAATATACGTTGGGTAAGGGCAAACCCGTTATATATAAATTAACATCTCCCCAACGCAAAAATATATCTTGAAAACCAATTAAGATGTCACAATACATGTTGGCGACAAAATTAAGGACAAGGCAACTGCACAATCACGGACGTTTAATTGTTTGTTGTGGTTTCAGTCCAACCTTACGTACCTTTGCAGGCTATTGCAGCTTGGGCGATCTCCACTTTCTCCACATCTGAGGTGTCTTACAAACAGTACATGTACATGCACATTGGCGCTGGTTTTATTTGTATCTTTTTGGGGAGGACATGCATGCAGGTCTGAAGAGAAATTGTGGCCTTTTTAGCCGATTCTGGCAGCTGGATATCATGATTAGAGAGGTTTCCTTCGAAGGATTGCTAAGATTTGGCCAACTTGGATTTGCCAGTGTTTTGAATGGAGCTAGAGATTGGGTCTGGAGTCTGAACTCTGGAAGCTCGAATGTACCATTGATGTACATGATGCTGTTACACCCCAACTACCGGTATAGCATAAGTCCCAACTATAGTTGAGACAGTCCCAACTGTAGAGCTGCAGTTGGGCTGGCCCAACTATTGTTGACCAATGTCTGTGGGAAATGGCTCAACATTATCCAAGTCAATGTGTCTCACACTTGACACAATTCATCAAAAATGTGGCACTTAGCCCCATGACCAGTGGCATGACATTTGTAAACAAAATGACTTTGGCACATGCTGAGCACATTATGCACACAGGACCTGTCTGCTGTAGTTGGGCCGGCCCAACTGTAGCACTCTAGTTGGGACGGGCCCAACTGTAGTTGGGACTGATGCTATAGTTGGGGCGTAACAATGCCACAATAGTGTGGCTCCTCTTGGAACCCTTACAAAAATGGCCCTTTTGCCACAGGGCTAGAGTGTACCAAAATATTTCATTACCTGCCCCAAAATCCTTCTGACCAGTTGGGTCATTCAATAATAGGGGTTCAATTTTTTTTGTGTCCTTGTACATATGATTTTGTAAGTTCAGAGCACATTCTCTAATTTCTGAGAGTGATGAATTAATGCAAATTAACTAACAAACAACATAGAAATAGTTTGAAATCAATTTCAGTGATATTTCCAAGTCAAATAACAAGGGCCACTAGTAGTAGGTGTAACAGGGACACAAAAATGTCACACTTTTGGACCCTGAGTTTATAGAATGACTCAAGTGCCCTTTATTCTGTCATAATCTTCTTGATATCGTACCGGTAGCGAAGCCTACTAAGAGGCAAATACTTGATCAAATCTGTCTTGATTTCACAAAAACCTCTTCAAGATCCTTCGGCTTTTAGCCACACATGTTGATGTACCGATACGCATAGAATTGATTGTCTATGACTTGGAATACCAGGCTAGTGTACATGGGATATAGTCGTAGCCGCTTCTGGTGAGTGCACTTGCCAGAAGCCAGACAAGTCAGGCTCTTTATTGACAAAAATATGTATAGTTAGGATCAATGCAGTGAAATCAAATTCACTGAGTGATTTCACAGGACCCTGTATTTTCAGACTTAAAGAAGACCAGGTACCTATCGATGGACTCAGTATGAGATCTCATGATAAATGAACATGGAAACCTTAAAACACAAAAAGAAAAAAATTTCACAAAAAGTAACCATAAGACAGGGTGCCTTTTTATTTACATGTACTGTAGCTGTTCTTCCAATTTTCCTCCACTTACTATGTGTTCCTTGACAACTTCAAACTTTAAAAGCATTATTTTTCAGTAGCAAAATGAAAGTTACATGTACATGGACAGATGTACACTCTGAAGGACAGGGATGTGAATGTACGATGTACTTGCAGTGTGAGCACGTACAGGGTACACCGTAAAATAGTAAAACGGCTAAACTTCTTGCAAAAAATCTGCTTTTAACCCTAACCCTCCAAGGGTACTTGGCTTGCAAGACCATTCCTCCATGGTCTAAGCATGCTGCCTGCCCATTGTAACAAGATCAATGGGTCAACTCTCCCCAAGGCCAAACAACCAGGAGTCTGTGATTACCAGTCACCAGAGTGGCATTGTCCAATGTTCCCATTGTCTCAAAATGACCAGTTTGTTGGGCTGCTGTTGATTGCCAAGCGCATCAAACTTTCACTGTAATGTGCTGCATCTGACAGGATTAGGGCTAAGTTGATTTTGCCCAGAATGCTACAATGCAGTAATTTGATGCGCTGTTCATGAAGATTTTTTGCATTTTAATTATGTTTTACCGGTATGTACCAGTTGTCCGGGGCTGTAATAAACTGTTACACTTTGTTTGTATCCGTTTAATCACGCAGAACTGAATTATGGCCGTGATCTGGAAACAGGATTAGATTACTGTGTACAACATGCACCTAGACATACATGTAGGCTCACACTAAGCTTTGAAGGTCTTGTGTGCAGATAATTCCAGATGTGGCAGTCTGTCAACTTGACAAGTGTTGTAGCAGTGCATACATGTACATGTACATGTATGTCTTATACAAGTTGCATGTATAATTTGCACATTTACATGTATGTGCGTGCATAGGACTGGGTCCACTGTTCTGTCTTCCCACTTCATTGTACATGTACAGTATCAGGATGTGCCAGTAGACATGTAGATACATTAGGCGTCACTCATGTCAAGTGTAGGGCATACTCGCGAGTGCATAACCTACATGTACATGTACTGCACTTGGAACTCATCATGTCAGTTTGACAGTTCCTTATTAAAGCTTGTCTAGATCTTCGGTGGTGGAATTCATGTTAGTATAGCGTACAGTATGTGGACCATGTTGCACTTGGAAACGATCCAAGGGCAGAGGAATGTTTGACAGAGGACATTCCAGAGACTTTTGGGGAAAGCCAAGAAACTCTGCTTGTATGCATGTAGTTATCTTTCAACTTCAAGCAGGCGTGCTTTTGTTTTAGTTTGAAAATGGTCGAAGAGTAAAGGCTGGTTGGTACTGCAGGAGAAGGTGAGAGCGTAGCGAAACTAACGTCACAGAAGATTTACTGCCACATTTCGCTGGAGTTGAAATGTGGTCAACTTTGTGAATTCCCAGCATTACTATTTGATCTGACATCACAGATTTGCCTTTGTTTTTGCTTTTGTGCTAAGTACCGGTATGTATGAAGTGGCCTTCACATTGCATCATGCGGTAAAAAAAAAAAGGTTAACTTCAGGAAGAAATAAATTTACACAGCGACTAAAACATGAAAAGCGGGCTGGTCTACAAACGGCACGTTTCCCTTGAGAAATATTCCGTGAAGAAACAACAGATCGGGTCTGCAACATTTTTCATTGATTTATTTAGGTTCAAACATTGAATGACATTTGGAAGCTTTGTCCCGTAAAAATCGGACACAAAAAAGTTCACAGATGTTGGGACGAGCACAGTATGCATTGGAAAAAGGTCATTCCTAAGTACATGTAAGTCAAAGTACATGTACTATACATGTACATGTCTCACTAGTGTACATGTACATACATGCACATGTACATGCATTCGCCCAGTGGATTTTCTTCCAAAATACTGCATGGATGTGACATGCCCAACAAGATTGTATGATTTTTGTGGCATATTCATGAAAAGTAGTTAAGGGAGAATTAAATTGAATCGGCATAATGAAAAAGTTTATCAATCAAACAACAGGAAATACGGTATCTTTCCCATGAAATCAGATGTACCGGTACCCGTAAACCACTTTTATGTACGCGTAGGTCTTATGAGCGTGTGCATTAAATTTTTGTACTGTGACCAGTGCTGGAACAAAATTCTAGGGGAAACAAGTAGATTCATGCTGGAAATTTGCCGTTATTTGTTGTTTAAGATCCAGCTACTGGTTCATATACCGTGTAAACTGTAGAGATTTAAGTGATCTCGTTATTTTTCAACCATGCCCCGGGCACAAAATAGCAGCGAGTTCAAGATCATCCGGAGTATAACTGATTTTGGTTGGAAAAAAAAATAACCACAAACTATCAGACATGGGACCCAGTACATGTACAATGTACATGGTACCCGTACTTAATGGAACGTATTGGCCTACATGTACACGTTGTATGTACATGTAGTTGGTTGGAGCACTATTTCTGAGTCTCTATAAAAGTGGTCTTGAACAACATCAGTCAGATAGTCAACAGGGGGCAGAGTGTCAAGCACTGTACACATGTAATGTGTCATACCACCTGTCAAGTTGAAGTACAGTGGTACCTGTAATTAGGGGTACCTGTTTGAAATGTCACTGATGGTCATTTATCACACCGTTCATGCATGCATGAACCCAAACAAACATGCAAGTGAATCCACCTGTAGTCTACAATGGGCCTGGCCACCAGCTGCATGCCAGGTTTTCACATATCATAAGAATGGGAATAGGGAGGTAGCAGGTCGCACAGTCTGTGCACACATGTAATACATGCACAATGTACAAGTACATTTACATGGTTTATCAGTCAGTGTAAACTGAGTGCAGGATTACAGGCCAACCTGCCCTGTACAGTGTTATTAGTGTTGAGAACAACCAATACAGGGTCCTATTTTGCAACCTGGCAACTGTACGGGTACAGTGGTACCACCATAGAGCTACAACCCAGCTCTATGGTACCACCAAGTACCAGTGTTTTGTTTTTTTTTCTTCCTTGGTGGTGATGTGGTAAGGCAGTTGTGCCCTGGAGGCTGTCAGTGTCATATATTGGCCTGTGTTGAACTTGCAGGTTATTTCGGTGCATGTACACTGTACATGTACAGTACATGTACAGTACCTGCAGTGTGTACTGTATGTACCCCAGTTGTAGGCACATGTTAAGGTACATGTACATGTACCTTGTGGCCTGTTTCTTCCACAGATGTAACAATGCAGTGGCCATCCATGGTCACAGCATGGAGGAATAGACTTTGTTCACAGGGCTGGCCATATTGAATTTGAAAGCAAGGTTAAGTCTTCATTTTTGAATGTTGAAAGCAATAAGATGAAATTTCATGACAAATTTGCACCCGTCTACTCTGATTAACCCTAACCCTCCTCAGTCCTTCACCTGTTGGAGGACTGAGGAGTGTTAGGGTTAATAATTTCAAATTCATGTTTGAACACTTAGCAACTGTCGCCTGTGGTGTTTGGGTCCACGGTGTCCAACGTGCTGTGACCATGGATAGCCACTATCTGTGGAAGAAACGGGCCACAAGGTAACAAGGTACACCTGAGCCTCGGGGAGCGAATTGCACTCGAGGCTGTACAAAATCCATGGACCCCCGTCACTGCCGACAACAATTGTTTTGTATACCATGGTCATAGACTTCGCTAGAACGATCTTATGCAAGATAAATTAAAACACTTTGACAAATTAAAACAGGTTAACAGTAAATAAGATATTAAATTTCAAGGAAAATGATTGATTGTGATGTCCTATCATTGCCTCCGTTTTTGGGGGGGGTCAGGGATTTATAGCAAACTCATTTAACAGAGGAAACTGGGATTCATAAAGCACTTGGGGTTTTGTCGACGGGTTGAATGTCAAGAAATTGTTCGCACCAAATACTGTTGAAAAGTACTGACAAGATTGAAGAGCAGACAAGAAGAGACAATGGCATGAACATTTTATATAAACAGCCATGGCGGTTCGGATTGCAAAAACAGCGATCAGAGCATACTCGTGTTCCATGAGAATAGCTGGGAGCACGAACAGAAGTCTAATAACCCGGGGTGGGTTCTGTCATGGTCAGAGTGAAGAGAGTAGCACATGCAAACAGACACAGTGCCTCCATCTCCCCCACACAGAACACATCTCCTACAATAATTGGCGCGCGTTCTAGTACCATCGGGGCTATCCACCCTCGTACCCAAGATTACACAATACATTGTAATTACAATGCAGTCACGACACATCAACTCTGGGAAAGATCACTGTTACCCATCGTATTTTGCGGCTCTGCAACATCGCCAGGGCGTGCGACACGTGAATGATACATGCGCGCTTGTAGTACATCACGTGATTAGTTCGCAATCAATAAAAATTCACTATCTATGACCATGGTATAATAGAATTGTACCGGTACCTTGCCAGATTCCGAAAGATTATTGAAAGGGAGGCTTGGAATGTACAGAATTATAAAACAGTCTGGTGCCATCCTAATCGACAGTTTGCAATATATGAAACAAATTTGGGGAATAAGATCCAAAATGGCCTCCAGGCAAATACATGTAGGGTGAACACTCTTACATGTAGATCAATGCCTCCACTGAGGTGGGTTTGGTTAATTGAGCATGACAGGGCAAGGCTTTCCAGAATCTGGCAGATATTTCCCTGTCATCGTTTGCAAGGGGGACAAGGGAGGTGCTTGTCCCCTAGCTCCCCCCCCCGCCAGAAAATGATTTTGAAAATAAAAATGAGGAGGGGGAAGGGAGCTGAAGAAATGAAGAAAAAAAGATGAAAGGGGACGAAAATCACTTTGCTTGAAAAAAAACCTCAAAACTGAACCGCCCCCACCGGTTTGGTAAATTGACAAACCGTGTACATGTCCTGCACATAGGTACATGTAACAATCATAATTGTACACGTGCGTGGCTGTTATTTTGCAGCGTAGGCTAAGCTATCTGTGCATTGGGAAGGCATGCACCGAGTTACATGTATGTAGGTTAGCAAGGCGTGTCTTCCAGGGTATGTGCACATGTCACTACACCTGTAGCTAGTTCACTGCATTTTGTCAGGACAGGGTCCAACTTTTTGGCCATTATGCAAACAAAGCAGTGAGTCCACTGAATTTATAACAGTAATGCAGTCAGACTACTTCTGTACTCATATACATGTATGGGGCAAGCGTGGTATACCATATAGATGTTCACTATTGGGGCAAGCGTGGTATACCATATAGATGTTCACTATTGAGAAAGAAAAGTGGTTCTGAAGAGAGCTGGTAGCCCGAATTCCATTTTCAGGGGACAGGTTTCAAAAACTGAACCACTGTCTAAACGTTTCAATGTCGTTGCAACTTGTCAGCTCGAGGATAAGACAGGCAGATTCCAGAGACAAAGCTTCTGTGAGGCACATGCAAACCAGACATGAATAATCTCCTTCAAAGTTCAGACACTGGAATTCAAAACAGGAATTTCCTCATTGAAGCCAGGAAATTAATTTAAAATGGTGTGTTAAGAATTGAACATGGAATTTGTGTTCTGCCGGTACCATTTCCTTATGTGTATCCCAATGAGCGTGTTTTCAGATGGTGTATAGTAAGTGCACTGTGATACATGTACCGTGAACTGAGCTGGACCCCCGTATGTAAATGGAAACTTTCTGAGATTTCCCTGTTATAACTCTGTACGCTAGGCCAGCTCCAAATTCCGCATTATGCTCACGCATTTTAGATGTTAGGAAATTTCTTTGGCTATCCTACCAAGTCGGAAGAGGCCACATCTGCCCCTTGGCATAAACGAATGCAAAGAGTGTCTGAGAACGTCAGCGGTACAAGTCATAAAAATGAAAATCGGACTTCGTAAACTTCCTGTCTCCCGTCCCCCGGAGTTGGGTATGAAATAAATTGACTACGAGAAAATTGTTGCCACCCCAGAACGATACATTAAGTGGAATTTTTTTTGGGGGGGAGGGGATCATTAACAGTTAACTTGGGAAGGGAATACATACAAGTATTCATTAGAAAAAAAATTGGACAGCTCCAAGAACATGAACAGAATTTTCTGCTGTACTGGCCTTATCTTTGGAGTGTTGTTGATGGTGTTTATCTTGAACAGCTTGAGGTACAAGGGTCACTGACTGATCACACTACCTACAGGTCTTCACATATTAGCTCCAGGATTTTGCTGGGTCTCGGGCCGTGCAAATCTGCTTCATCCCCAAGACCAGGTAAGAACACGAACAGTTTTGAGCTCCCATTGACTCAATAGTTGAAGTCTGAGGAAAGTTTTTTGAAGTCCCCAGCATGAGGAGAGATGTTTTTTTTTTGAAGCATCATTAAAAACTTTAAAGAAAAATGGTTGCCGTTTAGTTCGTTTGAAGTTACCGGTAGTTGAGAATTACAAGTGCGTCTGTGGTACATGTGCGTGTGTGATGAGTAGGACTGTAGTCCAAAGGTCAAACATTGATAGGTTGGTGGAAGGATCCACCCCCTGCATGAAGGTAACACTGAGTTTTGCACTGCTCTCTGTACAGATATATATGACAAGGTGAAACAACAGCAATTTGAACCTACATGTACTGGTCCTAACAACTTATCAACCATTTCTTTTTATTTTCAAGGTGTACATGTAGGTTTACGTGTTCTTGCATGCTTTTCCTGAAAAATGTTTGAAGTGGGAAGGATACAGTACCGTACTTAATTTGCATAGTACATTACATGTACATGTATGTGACCGATTGTCTTGCTGAAATTTACAAGTACAGTTGCTTGGTACATGCACATCAGACTTAGGTAGTGGTACATCTTTGTACAAGGTGCTCGTATAGATTTTAAGATGGGCTTCAGGGAAGAAATCAATGACCTTTTTTCCTGTACGTGTAGCTGACAACACGATGTACTGGTGAATACTTGGAAGGTATCGATCATTCTTTGCCCGTCAAGCTACTTGCAGATTGATGTACCATTAATCACACATTTGGTCTTGATCATAACCATGCACACAGTTTGTTATTTAAAGACAGCACAACTTAGTCAGAAACCGACTTGCATGGAGTCCCGCATTTATTAGATGCATTTAGTGGTACCAGTACAAATAAATGTTTGAAATCAGCATTTACCCAAGGCACAGTGCACATGTATGTACACAGTGAAATCCTGTTTGCTCTCAGTCCGATCAGTAACTGGTCAGACAGGTACATTTGTACATGTACATCTGGGAACACCTGTCTTGATCATTTAACTTCAAGCTGGAGGTCAGGTTCCTGGAATGTTGTGTCGCCCATTAGAGTGATATTTCCCGAGAGGAAAGCGATTCAAAGTTTGGCTTGTTTTTGGAAAAAGTTTGAATCCATGGAAAAAGGGGACAGGTTTCAATGCTGAGCATGACAGTTCAATAAGTCAAATATTGGTACAGGTTTCGTTTTTGCGTGCACATTGCTGGGATGTGTTAGGACCCATGCATTTTCACCCTTGCAGGATGTACATGCACATGTGTAGTGTATTTGAACCGTGACACTGTAAATGCACATCTACCATTGTCAGTGGCAGTGATTTTCATGCACCACGTACGTGTACTGGAAAATGTGGAAAGGAAGGAAATTGGGCCCAATTAAATCAGAAGGGTCATGTGTATGTCAGTCATCAGACAGTCTCTCCACAGGTAGCGGTGTGTATCCACACAGATAATATAAGTAGGCTACATCATGTGAGAGTGCATCACATTCACCAATGTACTGTACAGTGTCGTCACAGTGCATTCTTCCAAGCAGCAGATTTGATTTCTTGCTCGCTGATTCTACTTACCACTGCTTGCATTCAGAAACGAATCACCTAGCTCCCTCTCTGTTTCCAACCCACGTGACAGGTCTCTTTGTAATGAGCCAGTGAGATTTCAGCAGTCAGCATGTCGGCCAACAAGAAGAGAGGTGAGTTGGTTAAGTTGAGTGGGAAAAACTTGAGGGGAATCGTTAGCGGGGTAGTGCTCAGATTTCGCGATGCAGGAGAGAGGCCGGTTAAGAGTGGTGACTTACAATGCCATCGTCGCTGGATCAGATTCCAGGGTGGAGGTCATGCGGGAAAACGTGTGAACAGGTGAAGTCTAAACAAGATGGATTGAGAGTTCAATGCCAGCGTAAGACAAAGGCAATAGCACCTGTAGTCTCTGGCCAGAATTGGCAAAGAGGGCCTCTGGCATTTACAGACCAAAACTAAAGGCATGTCATTTGCAACAGACAAGTTAAATACCGTTAGTGCAGAAGTCTAAACCACTCGACCAGCGAGCTTGCCAGGGTCGGCTGGCCGGTCCGAGTCAGGTGAAGCAGCGGGTACTGTGAACTATTTTCAAGATGTACCTTGTTTTAAGCAGCTTACTATGTAATTACTGGGTATGCATACTGTTGATATTTTTTCTGCTACTATAAAAGTTCTTTTTTTCCACTAACAGAAGACAGGGAGCAAAGATTTAAACATTTCGGGGAGAACTTCCGTGCCAAGCTGATTGGCATCGACCCCGTGGAAGATGCCAGGGGCGATAACATGTGCCTGGCATCCATGGCAAAACTCAAGGTGAGGCTTGCTTCTCCGTTCACGAGAAACACTGTCAACATCAGTATCGGGGAACTCATTAAAATGAGTGGAAATGAATACTGAGTCACAAACATAGCAAAATTCTCAGATACTGAGTGTGAGTCCTCAGTCGCAGTCTCCACTTATGAGCCAAGATGTATATGTAGAGTTGAAGTCATCCCCTCCCTGGAGTACTGACTACACAACCTTGACCTGAGCAGCAGATAAGCTTGTGTCAGACTGTAAAATTTTAGTACGGAAGTCCACTGTTGAAAAAAAAAAATTGGTAGTTAATAACATTGTATTATTAGGGGAATGACGATGTTGTGTGAAGCTGTCATTTCCTTTGAGTATAAAAAAGCTACAATTTACATGTACATGTATGACAGGAAGCAGAGTAACTGGAGCCAGTCGCATTTTTCTGAATGTTATCATTTTTTTCTTGTCCTTCAACAACCAAAGTATTTTCTTGATTTGAGTGAGTATTCAGGGTTTGTTTTGAGTGAAACAAAAGAAAAGTTCTCATGCTTACTGGAAAATTGTTATACCCTTATGCAGTCAAAAATGAATGGAACGAGATGTCCCTGCTAGTTTTGACATTCAAATGGACGTCGATTTCTATTTCAAAACTGAAGTACTCGTACTCTATCTGCATTCTAGTCATGGCCTGCCTGGTCTGTTTAACGCCGTGCTTTGTGCCATGCACCGGCAATGCCGATGTTTTGTAATGTTTTCAGGCTCTGGTGAAAGCTTCTGGAGAACACAAACAACAGATTATCATCAATGTCTCGTTAGAAGGCATCAAAATCATCGACCTCAAGACGCTGGTGAGACCAACAAAACAAACCATGATTTGCACTTGCAAGTGAAACTTTCCCTGAGGGGAAACACGCC